CAATGAGAGCACGATTTTATATCCGGGACTTGAATTTGCCCCCCATTAGCTGCGTTCCCAATTTTTAAACTCGATGCCTCCTCTAGTGTTATTTATAATCTCTATGCCCCGACCAGGGTCTTTGCTTCCCAAGAGCAAAGAGCCTGGGAACGAGGTTGGAAGATGGGTAGTTTTTGTTTGGTTATAGCCAAAGAACTTAATTCCAAAACCATATTCTAATGTATTATCAAACTATTTCAGTAAAAAACGTGAAGTGGTCCAAGATTTGGCTCCAATGTTATGGCATTCCTTTGGTGAGCATTAATATAATATTATAATTGTTTTCCATTGATGCTCTACTGGTTACCAAGAATGTTGCCAATTTGATAACTTTGATATTTTTTCAGGAACAATTGCAGCTCTCCTTCAAGAGATTGTCAACATTTATCCTGTGATAAATCCTCCAAATCTAACAGTAAGTTTGGAGAAGAAAGACAGGTGGTGATCAGGCTTTAGTATATGTAGAAACAGATAATTTAGTTACCGTAGCAATTTAATTAATTATGGCTTTATTTTGTTCTAGGCTCATCAGTCCAACAGAGTATGTAATGCTCTTGCTTTACTACAGTGTGTTGCATCACATCCTGAAACACGAACATCCTTCTTACAAGGTAGAACATCAATGGTTATAGGCTAGTACAATACATTACATTACATGTCAGGGACAGAACAATAAAATATGGTACAGTACAGAGACAGGATGGGTACAGTACAGTACGGTACGGTACAGTACAGTACAGTACAAGGATAGAATACCAGGAACAGTATAGGAACAAGAAAGGACAGTACATGAAAGGTACAGGACAGGACATTACAGGATAGGGACAGGACAATACAGGGACAGTACAATACAGGGACAGGGCAATACAATTCAGTGACAGCACAGGGACAGGACAGTGCAGTGCAAGGATAGTACAGTACAGTACAGGTAGGTACAGGTGCAGGACAATACCCTACAGGGACAGTACAGGAAATACAGGACAGGGACAGGACAGAGACAGAACAGTGCAGAAACAGGACAGGAAGAAACATTTTATTTTAAGCTTAGGTTATACCATTTATCCAGTATTATGAGTATTGAGCTGCACTTTCTAACACTTCCAAATGTATTTGTTGTTTAGCGCACATTCCACTGTTTTTATATCCTTTCCTACACACGACAAGTAAAACAAGACCATTTGAATACCTTAGACTAACCAGTTTAGGAGTTGTTGGTGCGTTAGTGAAAGTAAGTGAATATGGTTTTATTTTACTGACATACCTTGGATGATCTTGATCCTGCACATACATATTGTATATACTGTACTTCAATATTTTAGCAGCTTTATTCCATTCTGTTCTAATGTATACACTTATATAAACATATATTGCACAAGTCAGAATATTTTGTGTCTTATATAAATTTGCTACATTTTCTGTTGCAGACAGATGAGCCAGAAGTGATCAATTTTCTATTAACAACAGAAATCATTCCATTATGCCTGAGAATAATGGAGTCTGGCAGTGAATTATCAAAAACTGTAAGTTTAGTTTCTTAGACTACTGTACGTTCACAAGAAACTACACACGTAAAAATCTCACATCTTGTAACAAGTCTGCCAACAAGCCGTCAACAAGATGTATTCGCACTGCTTGTCACAAGTTGTAAACAGGCTTGGAACAACTTGTTGACAACTTGTAACAACCTTGTCGAAGTTATCAGACTTGTTGCAAGGTTGTTCTGACAAGTCCGTTACATGCTTGATATAACAAGATTGTTACAACCTTGTAACATCCTTGCTATATCATGGTTGTAACAAACTTGTAAGCACAGTCTTGTAACAAGGCTCATAATGCCATCAAAGACGAATTCAGAATGTTCACACATGCAGGATTTGACATTCATACAGTTCCATGCGTCTTACACGTGTCAATACGCGCAAGTTGTAACAAGGTTGTTGTCAAGCTGATATGAATTCCCGTTTCCACTCAAGAAAATTTTTCACGGACAGAAAATTTTCCGAGAATATAATTGTTAAGAGTTGAAAATTTTCAACTTCAAAATTTTTTTCCATCGGAAAATTTTTGTCGGCCAGTCACATTCTACAAATCCCCCTTCCGCGGAAAATTTTCTTGAGTAGGAATGGGCCTTCACACACGTACATAAAAACGCACAAAAAGTTGTTACAGTTTGCAAACAAGTTGTCACAAATCTGTTCACAAGCTGTCAACAAATTCGCATTACGTTCCTACTTGTTGTAACAAGTTTGGAACAAGCTGTAAACAACTTGTAACAAGCTTGATGGCATTACCAGACTTGTAGCAAAGTTGTTCTAACAAGTCAGGGTGCGATAATTCAATATTTTTAGCCGTACCTGACTGGTACTCCAACAATTTTTGCCGAGTACTTGAGCTGGTACGAACTTAAAAGTCAAGGTGTACCTAAGGCTACTTCCGAGTCTTGCGTTTTACACATACATATATAATGCACGGTCTTTGACGGGAAAAATTAAACCTTTCTGAATTTTATATATTTAATAATTAATAATATACATAAAGATATTACTCGACTGTGATTGGTTGATTTCAGTGCAGTTAATCCCAAACAGCAGTGCAATTTTCTGTAATCACAGTGCAATTTTCTGTAATCACAGTGCAATTTTTTGTAATCACAGTGCAATTTTCTGTAATCACAGTGCAAAAATCTGTAACAAACTGATCTGATTGGTGGAAAAACATTGTGATGATTAAATCAACCAATCAGTTTAAAGCAATTTAGTTTAAAGAAGTAACGGTCACAGATTGCTTCAAAACAAAACAAACATGGCGCCGCGCTACAGTAAAGTAAAAGTTGCTTTCGCGTGAAAAATATGGCTTTTATCTTTATTTTTAAATGGAAAAGCATTGACCTTAAACAAGACTAACAAAAATTACATAGTTGAGTGGAATTTTCAAGCTGTTAGCGTTGCATAATGTGATATAACAAAGCCAGGAAAAGTTTGCCGGTGGAATGTTCGCTATAAACGCGTAAGTTAAAACTACAATTGTCTCGAACATTTTTATGTAAATTATTAATAAGTAATAGCATGGTTTCTCGTGAAATTTGGATAAACATGCACTCGTGAGTTTTTCAAAGACCTCAAATAGCACTCGTCCTTCGGACTCGTGCTATTTCGAGGTCTTTGAAAAACTCACTCGTGCATGTTATATCCAAATTGCACTCGAAACCATGCTATTACCTATACTAATACTAATAAACACTTATAACAAAGTTAACAACCTTGTTTGATCCCAAAATATGTCGGATGTGTGGAATTTACATTAGGGCCATTTATACGGGACAAAATAAGACGCGACTTACATAAGACGCGACTTAAATAAGACGCGAGTTTGTCGTATAAAAGGTACAAAATTCTTATGTAAGACGCGTCTTGGATAAGACGCGTCTTACATAAGAACAGGACTTTTAGCTGTTCTTATTTAAGTCGCGTCTTAAATAAGAAATTTTGGACAAAAATTCTAACTACACATGTCCGAAACTTGAAACAACGTAAAATTATTAGCCTTGCATATTCGAACAAAACAACCGAAACAACATTATAGCTATAGCAAGTAAATAAGAATAAATCCGTAGAGAACCATTTATGCGATAACTCAGCTTATATAAGACGCGTCTTATGTAAGACGCGACTTATTTTGTCCCGTATAAATGGCCCTAATGTACAGCTAAAGTTATTGACGGTTTTGAATACCTTGGAAGGTCTGCTAGTTATCGCTAGAAGGAAAATGTAAGTACGCGAATAGCAAATTCTCGTATACCTACGTGGTACTCGGCTAAAAACAAAGAATTCCAAACCATAATTTTGGCGTACCTCTGGTACGTTGGTACGCGACTTATCGCACCCTGCAAGTCGGATACAGTCTTGATATAACAAGAATGTTACAAGGTTGATGACACAAGGTTGTAACAATATTGTTATATCATGACTATTTGGACTTGTTGGAACAACCTTGCAACAAGTACGATAATATCAATAAGGTTGTTATAAGTTGTTAACAGCTTGTTCCAAATTTGTTGACAACTTGGGACACACCATGCGAGAACAAGTTGTTATCAAGTTCTTTGAATGTTTGCATGGCGATAAAATATAATTGTTTTTGTTTGTGGAAACACCACGTAAATTTATTACTGCAAAGCTTAAAGGGCAATTTACACGATACGATTAGTTGTATACGATTGTCATTCTGACGAATGAAAACGAGTGCTAATGCCACGTTATTGCTCATTCGCTAATGGCGAAATTTGAAATGTGACGTTTGTACGCGTGTTTATTCGATCACATACGCCAGAGTAAGAATTGTATACAACTAATCGTAATCATATTATTAGCACTGATGAAGATCCGGGCTTACGGATCAAAAGCTTTGCAGTAATAAATTTACGTGGTGTTTCCACAAACAAAAACAATTAAGTTGTTATCACCTTGTTAAGTCGGAAACAAGTTGTTATCACCTTGTTACGAGGTTAATGACGGTAACAGACTTGCTACAGGTTGTTGCGACAAGACTAATGCAGTACAGGCTGTTCGTAACAAGTTGCTTCGAGCTTTTTGTCATAAACTTGTTAACAACTTGTTACGTGCAGACGATATCAAACTAGTTGGAACAACTTGTTGCGAGTCTGTTGGCTTATGATCAACCTTGTTACAAGATGATAGCAATTTGTTCCAGACTTGTCAACAACTTGAAACAAACAGTGCGAACAAGCTAACACAAGGCGATATTGTGTGTGAATGGAGTCGACGTCTTAGGCTTAACCCTTTTTCTTCAACATGAATATTGTATTGAAACTTGTTATTTCATATAATTATCTATATCTGAAAATGCTTCTACCTTTAGGTGGCTACGTTTATTCTTCAGAAAATACTGCTAGACGAGACGGGCCTCTCTTATATTTGTCAAACGTACGAACGTTTCTCGCATGTCGCCATGATACTGGTAAGAAATAATATGACGTGCTAAAATTATACAATACAATACAATACAGTACATTACTACAGTATTACTATTATTCAGCTCACTCCCAATTGGAACTTTTCAGTGACCGATCACATCAAGTTTTTGCGCTTACTTATGTTACTTAAGCCCTGGGCAAACTAGGAAACATTGTTGTGGAAACATTTGTGATTCTCGATGTTTCCTCAAATGTTTCCCAGTTTGCCCACCCGTGGAAACATTGTTGCGGAAACAAAATTTGCTTCCTGAGGAGCAAAAATGTTTCCTAGCGAATTCAGAAACATTTGATGTTTCCCTATGTTTCTCACTAATATTTCCTAGTGTTTGCCCACTCTTGGAAACATGGCGAAACATTGGTAGGAAACAATGTTTCCGCAACAATGTTTCCTAGTTTGCCCACTAGGGCTTTAGCTTAGACTATTTATCTTTACAACAATTGTGATATTACTTTTCCTAACTGTGTTTATCCTCACCCATCCTGCCAACTTGCCCTGTGGGAGGGAACCCAAGCGCCCGGAGGAAACCCACGACGTTCGGCAGAGCGTTGACTGACTCTTTTCACATGAGTCCGTGTGGGAATCGAGCCCACGAACTCAGAGGTGAAAGGCGCCTGCCCTGACGAGTGTTCCACCGAAGCCCCACTGAACGTACAGCGAAGACTCATGTTCTTTTAACCAGAGTTGTGTATTTCTTTCTTAGGGTAAAATGGTGCTAGCATTAGCCAAGGATCAATCGGCAAGACTTTTGAAACACGTAGTGCGTTGTTATCTGAGGTTATCTGACAACCCTAGGTAAGGTCGTTAACACGTTTAGTTTCAAAATATATATGATATAGCGTGCAAGATAGCTTGCAGGTTAACCCATCGACTGCTAGTATTCTCCCGTTGGCAAGTATTAAAAATCGTTTGGCATGAGAAAGAGTAAAATAAGAACGTCATTGTCTGGGGCTGTTGTTCAAGGACAAAGCAAATTTCCAACATCTGGTTAGCAAACAAAAATATTTATCCAGGAATCTTGTCTGGATCAACTCAACAGAAATTTTATTTTCTAAAGTTTTGAATTAAACGGACATGATAAAATAAACAATCCAAACAGCAGGTTAAATTTAACCCAGGGTTGCACAGGTTAATGGTAATGCAGTTTTGAACAAACTGCCCGGGAATCTTAATCTAAAGGAACTTATTGGGTCATGAAAAAGGACGTCTGCACCGTATTTGGTTTGTCTTGATACCATGCATGCATACTGTATAAACATATGATATAAACGCTTACAAATGAAGTTATACTATCCATATTGTCCACCCTTCGTGCGCCTTATATGTCTGACATATATTTGTTGCTTCTTTACTGCAGAGCAAGAGAGGCATTACGACAATGTCTGCCTGATCAACTGAAAGATGCAACGTTTGCAAACTGCTTGAAGGATGATGCTTCCACAAAGCGATGGTTGAATCAATTGATGAAGAACTTACTGGAGCCTCCTGCAACAGACCCCAGAGGCATCCCTCTACCGCCTTAAATATTGCATGTTATAGATTTAGCCTGGCTTTAGGAAAACGGACTTGTAATATACTAACAAATGTAAAATAAGTATTTTGAAATTATCATCAAAATTTCCGTTGAGTTTATAATGTTGTTGTTTTAATTGTTGTTTTAATACGTTGTTGTTGTCGTCGGAAATAGAAATTTCTTTCATATTTTTGCAAGTGAAAATAGACGAGACAAAATAATAGACATACATGAAGTAGTGGCGTAGGTTCCCAAAAACGTATTAAAATCGAAGAAAATGGAGAGGAGATATCCAATATTTGTGGATAATTTTACGTCTTCATCAGACTTCTACAACGTTGGAGGTGACAGTTCATCTGATGAGGAGGCAAACAGGTAATACACACCTAATAACATTTTGTGTAAAGTGCAATTTATTCAAACACAGATGCATACAACACTATTGAAGAGGGTCTAGATGGGGTTTAATGTTAAGTGTTGAAGGCCCATATTCTATAGTGTTTAATGTTGAAACGCTAAAAATTTTGTTGTTGACTGTCATG